CTCCAACCCTGGAGGTGTTCAAGGCCAGGCTGGACAGAGCCTTGGGTGATATAGTTTAGTGCGGTGTGTCCCTGCCCTTGGCAGGGGAATTGGAACTAGATGATTTTAAAGTCCTTTCCAACCCTAACTATTCTATGATTCCTTTTTTGTTGATTCCTCATGGACCTGAAACAGCAAGTTACAATCACAAGGAATACTAAGTGTTTCCCTTATTAAGCTACACTAAATATATTTGCTACACCTAAGCAGATGTTTAATACTGTTTGTAAGTGGAAATAATATTTATAATGATATTTATCCTGCTAAAACAGAACTTATGGATTTGCTTTATATCTCTGCAGGAATCATTCAAGCTAGGGGAATGCAGACATGAGGAGCCACAGACCAGGTGGAGTACGAGGGCTGGTCTACATGAGAGAGGGCATCCTACACAGTTGTTTTCAACGAAAGAGTGCATTATTGTACACTGGGAGGGAACAAAGCGAGGTCATTCACAGAATGTTGGTACTTTTATTAAAGAAAATTCAAACTCTTGATTCCAGCTTTCAGTATTCAAAATCAGGAGCAAAGAACAGAATCATACATAACCAATTTTTTTTCACAAACCAATGGTCTGACCTTTCCACTACTGACCACTGCATAAAGAATCTCTCTCCATTTACAGTCCCAAGGTAACTGCTACTCATTCTCTCCTTAGAAACTCTGTTCCTCTAGCTACCCTCTCACACCATCTGGGTGGTTAAGAGTCTCCAGAAGAGAAAGACCATCTTCAAAGCTGAAAATAAGTTCCAAATACCTTGGAACTTTTTCTCATTTCCATAATACATTTCTTATTTGGAAAATAAACTATAAACTTTTTCCATCTACCCACAGCAGAAATAAGAATACAATCTATAATTAGCCAAAATGGTAGTTTATCTATAGGCTACTTATACCTTCCTTAAGCACATCTGGAATTTAGCTTCCCAGCTTTTAAAACCTTGGCCTTTATGAAGAAACAATTAACATTTTCCTTAAGGCATGGATATTCTAAATTTCTGTTGTTAACATTATATCTTGGTATGAGTGGCCTTCCTTCTGACTGGTCCACAGAAAAAGTTAGGAGCACATAAGCACAGGCAAGAAGGCATTTTCTAGTAAGTAGTTGTAGACCAGTTTTTTTGTGTATGAACAGAGATTGCTTCTATATTAAAGAGGCAAGAACACCTTCAAAATCATAATTGTATTCAATTTCCCCCTTTTAAACCAAACATGTACATATTATTTGAGGAATCTGAAGTATCATCATTAGATTTTGATTTTCTGTAACTTACTTTTCATTTTAGTGTAAGTAGGAGTGAGTGTTAGATGGGATTTCACATCTTTTTAAAGATAAAAATGCCCCAAACTATAAACGTTTGTTTGACTGAAACAGCCATAAAATTTCCTTAGATATTAGATATGATAGCTACAAAAACAGAATATCCTTACATGGCTTATTCCATTCTTTGGAAGACACACACACTCAAAGGACAGTTTATTATAGGGCATGGCAGATACAAATTTAGCTACTCTCCAAGGTACATCTGCTGTGTGTCTCTATCTGGTCCTTCAGGGACAATCAATACAACCAGCACCCCAGGATTTAAATAGCCATTTTAAAACTAGCAAAATTAAGTTAGTGGAGCAGAATGGAAAATTTCAGTTGGAAAGAGCTGTTATCACTTTGTCTTATTAAGAATATCCAACGGCAGTGCAGGCACTATTTTAGTAAGTCTGTTTTTATAAGCAGAAGGACTAACAGCTGTACACAAAATCCTCACAATTGGCAGGAGAAAACCCCTTAATTCATAAATAAACCTTCCTGCTCCCTTGTATACTATATGCTGATGCTTCTGTATCAAGTTCAGAATGTAATCAAATCCAGAATAACTGGTACTTGCCTATAATCAGCTATCTGAACTTTTGCCAACATTCTGGTTTCAAACTTTAGGTCCAGTATGTGGTATTTCATAGCACTTCTTATTCATCAAACCTGTGCTCACTTAAAATTGACAGATCATACTGCAGAAGCTTTGAGAAAGAACACTGTAAGAACTGAAGACTAACAGTTCATTGTTACCATGATGTATTTTATGGAGAATCTAATTGATTTGGATTTTTCCTTTTAGTCTTTCAGACAGGGGAAGGGGACTGTCTGCCCATGCATAAGACTGAACAGCACCTTTGGCTTGCTGTGTGGGACCAGGAACTGACCTCTCAAATGGTTGCTCTGGACTTTGGAAACAACTATCATCCCTTACTGAGGTTGGTTTTGGAGGTACTTGCAATGAGAAACTACTACCATCTTTTTTTGAAGTGGTTGGTTTCTTCTTCCCTTCAATTATAAGGGCTGAGTCACTGTTTGTTCTTTTGCCAGAAACAATGTTACTCCTTTTCTTTGTATAACATTTTTTAAATTGACCATGGCTCAGTTGCCTTTTCTGCGGCTCATAAATCTGATTTTTATTGATGTTCCCATCATCACTGTCTTCAGTAGAAGAACACCTGTTCTGACACACACTCTTCTTAAAAGTAGTTTTCCAACTAGTTTGAATATAAGCTTTTTCAATGTGACAGTCAGTTACAACATCTGCTGGGTTTTGAGACGCTTGAAGCATTTCACACCCAGAATTGAGTATCTCTGATGTTCGCCCACTGAGGGCTACAGATGTTGAACTGCTTATGTTATGGCCTTTTTGCACTATTCCAGCCAGGCTTTCAGCCTTTTTGTACTGATCTTGATAAATGTGTACGCTGGAATCCCTTGTGTGGTTTTCTGATAGCACATTTTTACTTTCCTGCATTACTTTATTTAACTGACATGAGGAGGAGATGAAAACGTCATCAAGATTCAATGTTTCTTCTGTTTGTTTAAAACATTTCAAAGGTTCCCGTTCCATTACATCTGCAGACAACAAAGGCTTCGATGGCATGGAAGTCTTCTTAAGTATTCGCTCAGTTAAAGGCCACTTCTGAAGCTGTCCCATAGCATCATCTGAAACCAAATCATCTGCACTATCCAGATGATGCTGATCAGACTGCATAGCCTCAGAATATTCTGACCTATTTCTCATTGTTTCATGAACCAGTGGATTCAAGTGTTTTATGCATGTACTTAAGTCAGCTGCTGGATCATGGGTATCACCCCCATGAGCTGGTGAAGTGTTGAAGAAGGTTCCTTCCCAATCTACACTGCTCAGCTGTAGACCAGCTGTTACAGAGGAAGCTGATGACATCCCTGAACTTTTACTAAATTGTGCTGGTAATACACATGAGTCAACCACCGTACTCTTTAAGAGCGAGTAAGGTGATGCAGTTAGAGGAAGAACAGCTGCTGATGCCGGCTTTTGAACAGTAGTTATGCAGGAAGCTGCAGCTAACACTAGATCTTTTGATTCAGTACTTCCCTGGTGTTTCTGATCTTCTGGGGGAGTTTTTATATCCAGTGTGGAATCCTGCACAGGAAAAATTCCACATCCAGTTTTTAAATTCATTTGAGACAGAAGATTGGTAACTTCATCATAACCGTTTGATGATTCCTTTTCTTTTGGTCTGTCTTTTCTGTCTGAAGAAAAAAAAAAAAAAAAAGGAAAAAGGGCATATCAAAATGATGTATTAACCACAGTTCAGATTTCCTAGAGTTACAAGTATAAAATCGTAAGATAAAAGCAGAGTCCCTGCAAGACACGCCCTGATCTTGACAAAAAATGATGTTGTTCAACAGTGGGAGAAATGTTTGCTGCTTTTGATTCATGTACTCTGGCAAGACACAAAAGTTCATAAGAAATAAGCTTTTGGACTTACTTTTCTGTTTCTTCTTCATAACTTCTGACTTTTCCACTTGATAAAGAGCAACAATATCAGGATAAGCAGCCTGAAACAAAGACTCCTCTTCCACTGTGACTACAAACAGCTCTGCAGGCTCATCTTCTGCATCAACATAATGTTCTAAAAAATTAATGAATGTACATTAGACATCTATATACACACATATGAAAGTAGGCAGTAAGAAAAACAAAGAACAAATGATTTATTTGAGTACAAAGAAGGTATGTAGAAGGTCAGTAGTACAATGTTTGAGATTTAGCTGCAAGTAAAATTTTTTTCTTTCTGCTAGTTTCCTGGGCACATTAAAGGCAGAAGTTTGTCAGCATAGAAAAATACCTAGCTAGGAAACAGACATAGCTTCAGGTATTTATAGTGAACTAAGATTTTTGCATTTTAATAGAGTACAGATTGTATTAAATGTACCAGAAAAAGTACCTGAAGATAAAGTCCCTTGTTTTCTAGGTAATTTTTTTTTTTTTAAAGCACTGTTTTTACTTTCAGGGTATGTAAAATTTGATGCATATTTTCTATTGTTCTCATAGAATAGTTTCCAATCCAACCCACGTTTCTTTGCCTCATAGTGTTATCAAACTCTTCTCCTCTTTAAAATATGCTTTTCTTCTATTAAAAGTTTTATTCCATAATATATATAGAAACAGAACAACCTGGTTTTTGCCACTCAATTTCAAAGCAAGAAATTCCGTTTTTAACACGTGCCTTGACTATCCTGTAAGAATAAAAAGAAGGCCATTAAAGGATTTTGTTTAAATAGGAAACAAAAAAGATACATTTTAATACTCTTAATTTGTAATGATTTGGAGGAAAAAGTATTCTTGTAATATTAAAATAAATACACCTTTAAAAAATACACTACTCTGTGTAAGTTACACAGTACAATTTAGGGTCTAGAACTGAGCACTGAAACATTTCTATTTTTTAAATGATACAGCTCAGCGGAGCAGAACAAGAAATCAAAAAGCTATTCTGTGACAACCATAACGCAGACTCCTACAAACATCATTTGGTATCTTCAACTAACCTACCTGAAAGACAGTTCCTGTATAACTAATATGATCTCCTTCTATGACAAGGTGACCCGCTCTGTGGATGAGGGAAAGGCTGTGGATGTTGTCTACCTGGACTTCAGTAAAGCCTTTGATGCCTTTTCCCCACAGCATTTTCCTGGAGAAACTGGCTGCTCATGGTGTGGATGGGGGTACTCTTCACCCCACCTTAAATACCCTGTTCAGTTTTGGGCCTCTTGGGGGTGTTGGTTGACAGCCAGCCTAATATGAGCCAGCAGAGTGCCCAGGTGGCCAAGAACATCCTGGCCTGTATCAGAAATAGCTTGCTCAGCAGGACTAGGATTGTCCCCCTGTACTTGGCACTGGTGAGGACGCACTTTGAATACTGTGTTCAGTTTTGGGCCCCTAACTACAAGAAAAACATTGAGGTGCTGGTGCATGTCCAGAGAAGGGCAACGAAGCTGGTGAAGGGTCTGGAGAACAAGTCTTACAAGGAACGGCTGAGGGAACTGGAGGTGTTTAGCCTGGAGAAAAGGAGGCTCAGGGGGGACTTCTCTGCTCCCTACAACTACCCGAAAGGAGGTTGTAGCGAGATGGGTGTCAGACTCTTCTCCCAAGTAACAAATGATTAGAGGAAATGGCCTCAAGCTGTGCCAGGGGAGGTTTAGATTGGAGATTAGGAAAAATTTAGTCACCAAAGGATTGTCAAGCACTGGAACAGGCTGCCCAGGAATGTGGTGGAGTCACCATCCCTGGAGGTATTTAAAAGATGTGTTGATGTGGCACCTGGGGACATGGTTTAGTGATGGACTTGCAGTGCTGGGTTAATAGTTACTTCATGCTATTAAAGGTCTTTTCCAACCTAAACAATTCTATGATTCTAAATCTCCAGAGAAAGCTGTTGCCACAGACAGTAATTTTCTGAATGACCAGACAAGGTCATTTATATCTTTTGTGTCAGAGCATGAAGGAATATACATGAACTGAGCAGGGAAAGTCAGTCTTCATGAGATTTTCTAAAATCATTATCTACACTAAAAGCATATCTACACTCCAGTTTAACAGGATCCTACATGTAAAGAGGCTCCTGATGAATCATTACTGCATTTTTAAACACTTGTTAACAAAAGAAATTTTCTAGAGCATGCATTATATGTCTTAAAATCTTGAAAAACTAGCAAGTGTTATAAATAGAGTATGCCAATTCATTTGCTCATCAAGGTAAATGCTGGCAAATCATCTAGCCAATCTGTTTAAAAAGCAGCCCCCAACCAGTCTCTCCACTTTTTTGAAAGGTAGCACTGAACAGAACAGCATCTTTGCAAATAAAAATTTAACAGACTATGACACATCAACCCAGAAGAGATACTATCACATTGGTACACACTGTACTTCTGACCCAAAAATTAAGGTCTATAAAACCTTCAACAGCATCAAAGAACGTGGAAAATCTACTAACTTTCTTGCAATACAAGAATTTGGAGGGAAAGGGGGAATTTGGGTTTCATTTGGAAAACGAGATCATCAGATACTAAAGTTAGTCACAGTTTCCTTCAAGTGGTGAAGGTAAGTTGAGATTTGCCAACAGACACTGTAGATTGTAGAAATCTACATAAGTTTAAGAAGATTAGATCATTAAAAAAAAATAAAAAATAATACATTGAGGTCTGGTAGAATAAGCAGATACTAATTATGGCTCAGAAAACCCCTGAGTAACAGAAACCTGGATGGTGGGGAAATATTCTGGAGAAAGCAGTCACATGCTTATGGTTTTTTTTCCTGCATACCCATTTTTAGGAACAGCATACTTGGCCATTTTTATATTCCTTAATGCAGCAGTCCTGAATTAAAACATAGTTTTGAGAAGAAGAGGTAGCAGAATAGAACCATAAGCCAATGATTCCATCAGACACACAGTGCAATGGCAGTTGGTAGGTCTGGTAAGACCATGACTGAATCTGCAGATGATCATTCCTAAGCCTAAACTCTTATTTTGAATCACAGAAGTCATTTAAACTTCTGCTAAGAGGATCAATACTATATTGCAAAATCTCATTTGCAGATCCAAAGAAAGAGAATAGAACGTAAGCATAGGAAAAAGCAGGCATTTTCACTTAGAATGAAAGGAAACTGCTGTATGTATTAGTTTGTGCACCAGCAGTGTAAGAATTGGCATTCCGATCTAAATTTTTATGTCTATTCAAAATGAGCACACAGCTTGAAGCAGAGATGGAAGAAAAGCATTATATTTCTCTAAAGAAGGAAAAAATCCCATGATTTTTCCATCCATCAGCAGAAGAAAATCAAGCTACCTTACCGTATTGCCTGCATTTGTTTTGAATCAATGTATCCATATTTTCTCTGGATCATATCATAATGTGTCAGGAGTACTAGCAGTTTCTTACAAGCATAATGTTTGTTCCATTCCATCTTCTCAGAAGCAAATATCTGTTAGTATAAAAAACAAAACAAAACAACCAAAACCAAACCCACTGCAAAATGTAAAAGTTTCTTTTCTATTAGGTATCATGCTTAGATAGCTATGTAGTAGCTAGTAATACTAGAAAGTGAAAACCAAAACAATAGCAAGTGACCTTTTTTCTGAGTTCTCTTTCTAGTGGCAAGTGTCCCAGCCCATGGCAGGGCGGTTGGAACTAGATGATCTTAAGGTTCTTTCCAGCCCAAACCATTTTATATTTCTATGATTCTACTTTTATACATGCTGCTCACATCAACTGATTAGGCTTTCAAAAAAAAAAAAAAACAAACCAACACCCAAAAAAAAAAGGGGCATATTAAGAAGTTGTAGCAAGATTATTTAATTCTTATTTCCAGTAAAATTACTAATGAAGTTCAAAATCATCACAGATGCCTGCCCTACGAATAAAAAGATTAATAATTAATAACAAAAATTAAAAAATTCAGAGCTGAATGTCCAGTATTTTGTTATATACCTGAAAGGACAATAAATTCGGCCTTCGATTTTCCTTTATGTTGATTAATTTATTCTTGTTTACAAGAAATTCTTGGATAACCTTGAGATAAAAAAAAAAAAAAGACAGTTTAAGAGAGCAGAAAAACGAAATTTCAACTAACTGATGAAAAATATTTAATCTTTAAATAGGCTTGTTCGTTACCTGAGAGAATGGAAAGCCCTCACAACTGTTAGCTTTTCTGCAGGTAAAACAAATGTGTTAGGAACCAAATATAAATAGAAAAAATGCAGGGAAAAGCAGTTCAATTTTCAAGACATTCCTACTTTCTGATACTGTCCTCCACTGTACTTGCTTGTTTCACCCGCTCTAACTGATGCCATTCACAAGGGCAGCAGTATTTGGAGTCATTGGGTTTGCAGTATCTAGTGCTTTCACAGAATTTACATCCACTGTGCCCATGTTCCTTGTAAGATCCTATAGAAGCAGAGGCACAAGTGTAAGGCAAATAAAAGGTTTCCAAACCCTCCAAATATACAAAGCTAGTAGTATGAATACAAACCTCAGAACAGATATGAATGTGACATGAATACTAGCTGTGAGCTGATCTGAGTGCATTAGCTGTATTTATACATCTACAGTGAAAACTGACAAATACAATCAAGCTCTCATTTTTTTGGAAGACATTTTCCCCAACAGATTCAGACCTTGTGCTGAAAACTTTATTACCCAAAATGACAGAAGTGGTCTGTGACAACCTGGCAAATACAAATAATTTATTTGAAACAAGGCTTTTCCTTCTCCAAGTGATGGGTTTGAACGAGTTCACTGATCAAAGAACCAAAATGAGGTTCCTTAAGATTAATTTCTTTTTAAGAAGACACTGCAGCAAAACCTAGCAATGCTAATGGATTCAGTCCTCTTGATGCAAGACCAACTTGGGTAACTAAGGAAATAGTTGCTTGTCAGTATAGCATACTTTGATAGTGTTAAAAAGGCAAATATCTGGGAACATACAATAGCATAGTGATAACATTCCATCTGCTATCAGCTAGTTTCACATTTGAAGAAAGGTAGGCCCCAGCCTCAAAAATATTTATATAAAGATACATATACATAATACTGAAAACAGGAACACAGCCCACAAGCTGAATGACAAGCAGTTTTGAATGTTAGCCATAACAAAACCCAAAAAAACCAAAACAGATCCAAACAAACAAACCCCCTTCCCCTCCCCAGAACAATAATTAGGCTAGAAAAAAAAATTCAGCGCTTTTCATACTGACCTGGATGATGGCACTCAGAACAGTGAATTACCCTTTTAACAACTAAAGGTGGATTATTATTATACTGAAATTCTTCTTTCCATTGCTCAAACCTAAAAGGATGATATTAAAAGGATTAAGAAACATTGCATCTACTCAAGAAATAGTTTTCCAGTTGAAAAGGATTACTTTTTCTTAAATTTTTTTACAATGAAAATGGAATTTCTACAATAACTTTTTTTTTAACAGTACATTATATGATTGATTAATTTCTAGTATAGATACACACACTATGATAACAAACAGGGAAAGCCTTTGGTATCTCATGTCCTGATTCACACGCCAACTAAAAATAGCAAAAGTCTCTCATTGGTCCCTATGACTTCCTTTCCAATATATCAGCATATATCTGCTAGCTCAAGAGCTAGAAACCAGCTAATGTTTAAAACAATTAAGAAGCTTGCCTAGTAAAACACAATTCAATTAGCAAATGTAAAGAACATGGTAATCTCTTACCCCTCCAAATTAAAGTTATTATAAACATTATCTTGGAGCTGAAGCACATACTTGCAAGTTTGAATAAAATCAAAGTACATCACCATATAACATAAATTTTAATTTTACCTTTGCAACAAGTTTTGACCTTGCAAAGTCCCAATTAACTTTAAAGCTTGTTCCTTCCCAACCCCTGGAACACCCTACAGAGACAGAAATACAAAACATCATTTAATGAAAACCAGAAAGTATTCAGATTTTCATAAAAATTGCATTCATTACATTATGTAGAAAAATGACAAAAATTATCCTAGATGTTGAGTATAAATAGAGAAAAATAATTTTTGACCAAGTTCTAAAGACAGAGAAGGTGACATACTACACTGTACTACCAGTGTTGTTTAAAGCCCTGTCCAGCCTGGCCTTGGAGGTTCCTTTTCTGGAACCTAGCTCATGGACTGAAATCCAGAACACTGTAATAATCCCTTGTTGTGGTTTAGCTAAGTACTATACAGCCACTCGCTCACTCATCCCTTCCTCCCCTGTGTGGGATGGGGAGGGAAAAAAGGTAAAAACTCATGGGTGGAGATAAGAACAGTTTAATAACAGAAATAAAATAAAATACAGCAATAATAATAACAGTGATGATGATAAAATTGGGCGGGGTGTGGGGGGAGAGAAGGTGTGGGTGTAAACAAACAAACAAAAAGAAAACTGAAGTGATACACAATGCAATTGCTCACCACCTGCCAACCGATTCCCAGTCCGACCAGAGCAGTGATCAGTCCCTTCCAGGTAACTCCCTCCAGTTTCTATACTGGGCATGACATGCTGTGGTATGAAATATGCCTTTGGCTATAGTTTGGGTCAGGTGTCCTATTTCTGCTCTATCCTGGCTTCTTGTGCCCCTACCTCATTGGCAGAGCATGAGAGACTGAAAAGTCTGTAAGCTGTAAGTGCTACTAATCAACAACTAAAATATCAGTGTATTATCAGCATTATTTTCTTACTAAAGCCAAAACACTACCAGCTACTACAAAGAAAATAAACTCTATCTTCTCAGCCAAAACCAGGACACCCCTAGACATACTGAAGAGTGAAAATCAATTGATTCAAAACAACCAGAGAAGGGACAGAAAAATGATCAAAGGGCTGGAGCCACTTTCCTATGAAGACAGGCTAAGAGAACTGGGGTTGTTCAGCCTGGAGGAGAGAAGGGTCCAGGAAGACCTTATTGAGGCCTTTCAGTACTTAAAGGAGACTTATGAGACAGATGGTAACTGACTCTCTAGTAGGGGTAGGGCTTGTAGCGCTAGGGGCAATGGTTTTAAACTAAGAAAAGGGAAATATTCAGATTAGATATAAGGAAGAATTTTTTTACTATGAGGTTGGTGAAACATTCAATAGGTTGCCCAGGAAGTGATAGATGCCCCATCCCTGGGAACATTCTAGATCAGGCTGGATGGAGCTCTGAGTAACTTGGTCCAGTTGAAAATTTCCTGCTCATTGCAGGGAGGTTGGTCTAGCTTCAGAGGTCCCTTCTAACCCAAAATATTTTATGATTTAAAATGCACATACTGCTTTTTCCAGTTCCTCTTTCAATCTTTATCTTATTTTGCCAAGAATCATTACAGTTGAATATAAAGATTGTATTGAGTGTGCTTTCTACAGCATCATTACAAATAAATCTATAGTTTATTTTTCTTCAGCTGTAATGGCAAACTGAATATATGCAACCATGTGAAATAAACGTACATTCAAAACCAGTTAGGAGTTCTCACTGGACTGCAGCCAGACACTGGGGTAGAGAGTCAGATATTCAGCTTCTGCAAGGAAAGCATCAGCTTGATATATATTTAACAAAGTAAGTACAATTATAGAGTGGTATTCTCATTTATCTGCACTGCCAATTCCCATCCCAATGCACTCCTATAATTCAGCTTTTGTTAGAAGTTTCTATCTTCATCCACTTTGCTCATGTATCATCATCCACTTTACTAGGCTGCAGTAACTCAAAAGACCTATCTGACATTACGTAATTGTTTCACTTTAGGACAATGCAAGAACCTGGCATGCTAGGAGCTGCTACTTCCATTACAATAACCACTTATTAGTCACCAGCTTTTTAAACTCCCTCAGTATTATCATCATTCTTACAAAAGAAATGTAAAATAATAGTAAACAACTATTTAAGGTTTCCTATAACAGAAACAAGTCTCTCAAGAAAAAAAATAAAATAGAGATTCAGCATTATCAGCTGTTTATAATGACAGTTTTATCAAATTGGAACACAATATATTTAAAACATAACTAGATATCCACTGCAAGTCTGAATGGGAGCAACCATTGCCTGAAGTCATAGTACGATGAACTGTATAGAAATCAAGTTTCATCCCACTTCCTTTCCCCTTCAAATAGCCATTACAAAAGCTTCTATTCAAAGACTCCAAAAAATTCCAGAGCTCAAAGAAAAAAAGAAAACAGTGAAGTAGTAATGAGTGAGATACCTCTCACTTCATTCATTAGGCAAACTTTCAAGTAGGTGACTTCTTTAATAATATATTCACAAAAAACAGAACAAAAAGGGGATCCATCCAAACTGCATCCAGAACTGGCAATACTAATAACTACAGGTCAAAACAATCACTACTATGTCTTCCAAACAGCATAGACAAAACTCATTTTCCACAGCTACTCTGTCAGTGATGTACTTATACAGTTACAAAGCATCCTTACAAACAACTGAGATTTCACAACTTTGCTCAGTGTAATCAACAGATAAACTTCTGTCTTCAGTTACAGAACAAGTCTGGAATAATACATAATAGCTTTAGAAAGATTAATGTACGTGAACCATTTTGATTATCTTTAAGGCCTCATAAATAAAATTTACAGCAACTTACCAAGCACCTTCTTCAACTAGATCTCAGTAATTATGCACTGCATACAGTTTTGTCAGCATGCACATGTCTCCCTTGACATAGTTTATTGATTTTAGGCAGGGTAAGTACCTAATAAAAAATAATTATATTGCTTACCTTTGGAAGATAATCACAACCCAGAAGAATAGCTAGCCCAATCAAAGACTCTCTGTCACAACCAAGCTTCTCTTTAATAGAGGACATTGTGTAACAGTCAAGATGTGGATCCTGCAAGAGAAATTCATAGCATGTGTTATTTCTGTAACATATGGAAGGAATTGCCCTGAGTCACATTCAGTTGTGATTGCTTACCCACCCCTATTCACACACATCTGCAGGAAATGGGTCTATCCCCTAAGATAGGTCTGAGAGGAAAAAAAAAAAAAAAGCATCAATTAAAATTTATAAAGTAATTCATAGACACCACATGAATAACAACAGTTATGGAATTTCATGTTTTAAATATAGGCATCAACTGTTGAAAGAAACTAAAATAAGCCAATGGGTGTTCTTCTTGTTTGCTATGTGTAGAAAAAGTGTGGCAAAACTAACATTATCCAGTACTACTGGCTGTGTAAGTCATCTCAGGAACTGCAGTTTTTAAAATCTATGTGAACATTTCAATGTGCTACTTGAGGAAAAAAAAGAAAAAATAATTAAAATGTTACCTAGACTATTAGATATGAGCTATGGAACTCCTGCAACTTTGAAGGGTAGAAAGACTCAAACACAACAACATGAAATCAAGATTAACATGAATCAAACCATAGAAACATTGCCTCCCTGTCCTGCCCTTCTTCCTCCCCTGACGAAATAAAAAAACCACACATGCCACATGCTAACAATCCAAAATTCCAGTTTTCTGGAAGAGATGGCCCTGGCAGACAAACACACGAATTATTTTTTTGTGTTGACTTAGGTAAGTAACAAAGTACATTGAAAGACTGCAGCCACCTTCATTTTTGGTGATAAACGACAGAGAATACCAGGTCAAGACAACCCAAACACAGTGCTATCAAAGCAAGTCATCATCCATCAACTTTAACTATTTGATTTTTTTAAAAATTAATCGTTCATAGCACTTTTTTTCCTATTGATATTTTCCTGCTACTGGAGCATTTTCTTAACAAGTGTTTCAGCTGAATATTATTTAAAATTCCAACCCCAGTACCATTTTTCCTCCACTTTCTTGTTAGATTCAGTACACAGAACACATGCATTCCTTTCCATGATTTATGGAAAAAGTATAAATTATGGAAATTTGGGGTTGCCTTTTGCCAGATCTGGAAAACTGTATTCCTAACAAATGAACACTTCAGTTCAGTGTCATAAATTGATTATGATACAAATGTACAATCACAACCATATTCATGTTCAACTGGAGACTAACTGTATTAATTGTAAGTATATTCATAATAAAACAAACCTTTAAGACACAAGCATGTGAACACTGTTATTAGACCCAGGAGGCTGACCACTCCCATATGCCTTAATGATAAATTTACAGGAAGCAATTACTTCACTAAAATTCTCCACTGCAGAGGAGAAAAAGGGAGGGAGGGGGATGGGGTTTATAGATGTTGTTTTATATTACACATCACTGCACACTACAAACACAGACAATACCTTCAGTGTTCTTCAATTCAGTAGTTTTGCTCTCACATCCAATACACAAACTGCCAATGAATCAAACAAAACATCTGTATCTTAAACATACTACTTTATAAAAACTCACCTATTCGACAGTAATATGTAAGTAATTACTTCAAATCCCTTCTTTCTATTTACATTTTTGGGAAGAGTCTAAAGAGAGTGTGAGAACAGGATGAGGTACACTACCTTAGCATTCATTGCAAAGTTCCTATAAACTGTTTGAGCTCCATATAAGAAGACATCTCCATCATTGGTAATGCAGCCATCAACATGTCCTTTTGCATTTAGGTAGGCACACATTGCCTCTGCTTCCCCAGCAGCTTGAACCCAAGGGACACCTAAACACTCCAGCAGTTCAAGACACTAGAAGAAGAAATCCAAAAGGAGAGTGATTGAATGCTGAATTAGATCCACTTAGTAGCATGCATTTTCTCAGACACAGTGTATACAAAACCTGTTACTGCTGCATTGTTTATAGAACACTGCAAAAATATAAACACTATTTCAGGAGAAATATAGTCTACTGTAACAGTGAAAAGAAATATCCAACCAAGAGTAAAGCATTAAGTTACAGGACTTAAAACACAGCATGATTAACGATTACTCATTTACACTTCAAAAAGGTATTTAGGATGTTTTCAAAAGAATAACAAAGGAATATTTATCTATGAAAACCAATGCTTTACTCAAATCGTAATACTGGGCTAGCACAGACATCTTTCAGACACCAGACTCCCCAAGAGTAACAAGCATGAAAGTACAGTATCATCAGCCTAGTAAAACTGGACCACAGTATAAGACTTACTGATAGTTACTTATATATACCACCTACAAATTTCAGAAAAAAAAAAAAAAAAGAAAATCAATCTATTGAAGCCATAAGCATTTATAAATTCCATTTCATAAAATTTCACATTGACAAAAATTATTAAATATCTGCAGCAATGAATGAAGAATAAAACTACTGAATAGGAGGTCTCTGCAACCAGAGTTTCCAGAACCAGATTCTCAAACATCTATACAACTGACTATACAAATCTTCCTTTTAGCCAAATCCAGTTGGTTTCCAACAAGTGTGTCCTCTTATCTACTCAGCTAGTTTACTAAATCATACATCTAGGTTCAAAACAGTTTTGTGGACCCCTTCAAAAGCATACTACCTTAGTTTACATAGGTACACAACACATTCCTGTTTTCACATACAGCCCAATCTAGGAAAAAGAAGTATCAATACTAACACTATAAAAAAATAAGGAAGTTGAATTTCTTTAATAAACACTCAATTATGTCTATGGCTTCCTACAGCAAACATGCACACAAACATGAAACAAGGAAATTATCCTGATATTGTCCCTCTTCTACAAGAGCAGTTAAGAGATGCTGTAAGGCCCAATTTCAAAAGCATGTATTCCCTCAAAACTCAAAATACTGTTGAAATGCGTTGTGTAGAAAACTATTAATTCTCTCAAGTTTTTGTGTTCAATTTGGTTAAGATTTCTCCCTATCACATGAAAAATACTGAAACACAGCCCTCAATTACTCACCTCTTTCAGAATGGCTTTGAATAAAGATCTCCCTGTTCTTGCAGCTCCAGCTTTCTTTGAAGGTCCATAGCGCATCTCGCTCCTCTTACTCATGGTGTCTGCTTTTAACTTGGGGGCCTCTCCTTCCGTGACAAACACTAGTTTAATTCCCATTGATGTTAAGAAAGAGATCCGAAAAAATAGGTTCCTGCAATAAAGCAAAGTGTTCTCTAAGCTGCAGAATTAGTGAAGCCTGATTTCTTCAGATGTTTCCCTTATATTCCTCAGCCTACCTCAGGAATAAACTTAGCTTTCTCTTCATCTTTTACAATTTCCTCACCCTTGAGCTAACGAAACTTTTATCTATATCCCTGCCTTTGGCTGACGTTCCGTTACTATGAACTAGTAACAGCTTTACAAAATTCCCAAGAAAATACCATATAAGAACAAGAATGTAAGCAAGTATAAAAGGCTTAATAAAAACCAAATCAATAGCCAAAGTCTGCTTCCAAACACACATCCACATTGATTCTTTTGTATAAAATTTTAATCCCAAATCTATCAATGCCAGTACATCAGATTCTGAAGTGATTGAATACTGTGTTATTAGACAGACTTACAGATACCACTACCATGCCAATCTATTTCATATGCAAACCAGCATCACTGATGGATAGAATTTTGCAAAGGAGCAATAATAACTATTTGGTCTATAGCAGTAAAATTGAGAGCAGTAATATCAGACAGCACCTACTTTTCCTAGTTATTCCAGGATCAATCTTTCAAAAGGAGTAGACCAAACATTTATATCACACTGATTGATATTAGTCTAGATTTAATTTTGCACATTTGCTATTGGTAAAAAAGGATAAGCTGATCTGTTGAGGCTAGTTCTGTTTTCACAAATGATATAAAAATCAATCACAATAAGTTTCTGTGAAATATTTGGTAAAACAATTCAATTTCCAAATGCCTGAAAACATTTCTTTTTTTTTTTTTTTTTTGGTAGAAATCTGTTCACCTTGCTTTGGAAAGACTGCATTAGAGATCTGGACTGATGCTTCCATTCCACTGCACACAGGACATCCTATCAGAGGGAAGTAATGACTTTGGTCGTTCAAGTTTTATAGTTAATTATCCATTTGGGGTCATAAGTAAAACATTTTAAGAAATTATTCTCATAAGATGCTGATATTTCATATCAGCTGAATTCACACAAGCCATGGGAACATCTAACAGCAGCCAGCAACTCAGCATTCTCAAGCTAACTAATAACATGACATTTATGAAAATTTGTATATATTTTCATTCTTGTCAGCATCATCCACAGAAAACAGTGCTTTGAATTTACAGCTGCTTATACTTGCTCATCCCTTAAGATGTGATTCATTTAAATTAAAAATATACGTATCCTTCAAGATTGTTCATAAGCCTGAAGAATGATTTAAACATATTTAAGTCCACATGGGATCTAACTAGAATTTTAATTTATAAGCCAGGTCAGGATAGAGCACACATGGTTGTCACTATGCTCTGAACTGACTAGCATCCAAGCTGTTGTGATAAACAGTTTAACCTCCCATACTACTTTCCATACACAGCTTCAGAGATAGATAGGAATTAACACATTGATTTGCGTTCCTTGATAGTCTGTGTATCACATAGAGCTATACCACAGTAAAACAAACACGGTTCTGCTTAAAACCACATCATTCTTATCTACAGTTGAGGCCTCAAGATAAGGTAGGCTGGGCCCAAGAACTTCTATTTGTACCCAAGCATTAAGCTGAATTCAGCCATTATGGCTGAATCTTCACTTCAAACCCTTTACGTATACAGCACAAGTGATGATAATAAACCAACACACTCGTGAATTTTGAAGGTAGTCTTAAATTTGGAGTAACTGTTGTACCTAAATTAAACAGCTACAAGACTTCTGGCTACAATAATTAATATGGATACCATACCTCAGATGTGGCTTGGTAACTACTCCAATCATCTTTTTAACAGTCTGTGCTTCACAAACCCACAGACTTAAATCAACAGCAAGTGTTTTTCCTTTGAGACTGGTCAAGTTGACAGGTTGTCTCACGGGCTCAAGGATTTGCCACAGATTAGTCACTCCCATTTTTCTAGCTTCTTTGTTGTCAGAATGAACGTTTTAGCTGTGAAGACCAAGCAAATAAAATACTTTCAGAATACAGCATGAAGTACGATGTATCATGAACATAAGGCTCAGAAAATAAGTATTCGGTCATTATCAGTTTTACTTTTATAAGCCAAGAACATTTACAATCAAGCCTTCTAAGCGTTCACAAATGGTTTATTAACGAAATACCTTCTTAGGACCATACATTTTTATTGCTAGTATCTTGAACATAAATAAAACCAAACTCAGTGTATATGTATAAGTCATTCATTTCCAAGTCTTGTGTGTCTCTTGCATACGCACAACCCAAGCTTTATGTAAAATAAAAGGAAAACCACACCTCTTGAGGGAATTACTTCCAGATCTGAAGTGGCAGGACTCACATGAAAACATTTCTGTTTAAACAGAAGTAGCGTAAAGCTACCTGAGGAATATTTATGATGAAAACAGAACTTGAACTTTCCTTAATATTCCAAGATTATATAAAGAGGGTCAACAACCACAGATTCTGGCTTGGGAAATTCAAGTTGGACTTTAGGAAAAAAATGACAGCGAGTACAGCAGCACTGGTTGTCCAGAGGTTACAGAATCTCCATTCTTGGAGGTGGTATATTTCTTTGTCTCTTATTTAACTTCACTTCTATAGCTCTATTCTCTATGCTACCACATTGCCAGATTTAGTTTTCTTCTTTTCCTTCTTTTTCATTATTCTTCATGTTTTCATACCTTGTCAGTTCTATACAAGGCCTCTAGCATATACTCTACTTTCCCCCCTCACAATACCCATCTATTCCTGCACTGTCTTACTGTACAAAGTTTGCCTCATGCTTATTTCTCTATTTTTCCCTCTTCTCCCTCAATATTAGAAGATAAAAATAAAATCTGAAATGTTTTGTATTTCTCTTTCTGATTTTGGAACTACCGTGTACTCAAGATAAAACAAAACCCTCCTCTAAATAAACCATGAGTGGATAAGGTAGCTGCCCGTGCTCGGGGTTCAGTTTAAAACACACGAGGAGCTACGCCACCTCGTGGCCTCTAGTGAGCACGGCTACATTACATTCAGCAGCCTTCCACATTTAACACCATCAGTCTGTTGGAACAAACAAGCCTGTCGTTGTAGAGTGTGTTTATACCTTAAAATTGTTCTAAAGCAAGGCAGCTAATCAATTCCAGGCTGTTTTTGAATAAAGTTCTAACGTTAAGATTTAAGTTCAACAGAAATCATGTTTCTCCAATCCATTTAACTACTACAATCACTCAACCTGACTTTAGTTTTATGCATACAGGTATCGTTTTTGCTATTGTTACACCTCAAGCACATAAAAGGAGTTAAACACACAAATAAAACATGCAAATACATGGTATAATTTCTTTAAGTCCAGGATGATCAATTTCTCTGACGAGCAGGGGAGACCAACAAAAAGGCATCCAAATCCTTCTCAAAAGACAAGTGTGATATTCAGCTTCAGTGAGATTTAACAAGAAAACACCTAGCAAAAAAAGGGACATGTCTTTTCTAATGTTATCATTTGGTTCCTGCTAGTCTGCATCAACACACATTCTTAAACAACCTCTTGCATTAGCTGGTTGCTAAATATTATTATTATGGACTGCCACATGCTACTTAATTAACAGGAAAGACAAATACACTAGAAACACTTAACATTTCAGAAGATTACAAATAATAGTAAGTATAAAAATCTTAAAACTACAAAAAAGAAAAACCACGTTTTTTTCCTATTATGAGATAATATTGTTATTTGAGAACAGAAGTTTTCCTTACTACTTTCAGTATATATCTAGGCTGAGTTATGAAAGCCTGTGAGACCTACCAGTCTTTGGGTTTTTGAGCATATTGTGTAAAATACTTTGAATTGGATTTTCTATACAACAGCTTTATTACCTTCAATAGGAGTAATCGGTCTACTCAGATATTATTGAGGAGCTTTGTTCATTACAAACCTCTGATGTGCTCAGATACATGGTAACTTCCAATGAAGGGAGACTGATACTTTCCGTATACTTTGAAGTCACTGAAGACATCATGCTATTACAAGATCATTGACAGGAAATATAAACTCAAAAACCTTCCTATTTCTCATTGGGCCAGTATGTGTTTTTATAAAGCACAGCTCTTGAGTTTTATAAATTATGTTTTAAGACTGTATTTTACTCTACAAAGTTTTTCACACAGACAGAAAAGTAAGCCAGTTACTTGAAAATAACTACAGAATACATTTAATGCCGAAATTTAATTCACACAGATACGCTTTCACCCCTTACCAAGGTAATCTGCAAAGAGTGCCAAGGATATGCTTTATGTCTGACCAACAAACCTTTAAAAAATAAAAGAAAAAGGGGAGAGGGGAAGAAAAAGAAAGCTCTCAACACGTTTGTAACAACTCTCCAGTTCCCTCTGTGCTACCGCAACACCCTAGCGCTTGGCACAGCTCCACCAGTAAACCCGAGCACCTGAGGCGCAGCAGTGACATGCTTCAGCATTTACAGATGCCTCCTCAAATTCCTACGTTTATGTGTGTCCGCCCCTCGGTGAAAACAAAAACGAGAGGTTGCCTGAACACGAAATAACAGGATAACAAACAGGCGTCTCGAACACAATTCAAAATTCCCGCCTCAATGCCAACTAGCAGTAAGAACGCACCGCACAGGCGGAAACCAAGGCTTCCCTGGCCCCCTGTGAGGCGAGGAGCCTTCCGGAGGGCTCTCCCTGCCCGCTGAGGACCGCGGGCCCACCACC